TCCCTAACTGGATTCAGTTTTTCAGTTTTTCAGTTTCTGTTTCCCCTGATGGCAGAAAAATCTAACCTTGATGATGAGTGATAACTAATCAATGCCTATGTAAAACTCAGTGCATTATTGTGTAAAATATTGGGTTATATTAAGGTTTTCTCTTTTTCTACTTCTTTTCTTTTCCTTGGGCAGATCTCTAGCTTGGTGGCTTGTGTATTCTCCTGCATCGGGGGAGGCATGTCATCCACTTGTCCTACCTTGAAGCATGTCCTTCAGTAGTCCTACATGGTTTGGGAGCCTGAGAATCAAATGTCAGCTTCTGCTGCTGCTGTTGTCTGTGGTACCTGCCATGGCCTCAGACCGTGAGGTGTAGTCACTTGGACTCTCTCAGCCCTTACCACATTTCGTGAGAGCCTCAGTCCTTCCACACCCTTCTTCCTGCTCTCATGGGCCTGGGGACTTTCAGCAGCCTATGTAACACTATCCTAGAGTGGCCAGGTCATTGAGAAGCAGCCCTCAGTCTCTTCTATATTGCCACTTTTCTGAGCTGTTGCTAATCTACCTCCCCTCCAGCTGTATTGCTCTGGGGCCATGTTTAAGTTAAGACAGTTCTAATAGGTTTGCAGCCCTCACTGCTATGGGAATNTCGCTGGTTTCAACACCCCAGAGGGAACCAGAGAGCAGGTCCCATGCTACCACCTAACTCTGCTCTTGTCCTCACCAAATTTCTCCAAAAATCCTCCAACCAGACTAGAAGGAGAGATTGTTCCCCTCAATGTAATAGGAAATTACTATTTTTTATATATATACAGTATTTTCCATACTACTTGGCTTCTGTAAAAGCTCTTTCTTTTTTTCAAATATTGTCCTGAAATCAATATTTTCCTAAATCATGATTTAATGAAATAGCACATTAAAGAAAATTAGAAATTGTGAAAGTGGGCCAACATAAAAATAATGAAATTATCATTAAATATTTAAAACTATAAAAATGAATAAGAGTAGCAAATAATCAATTATGCATGTATTTTTACATTGCAAATTTGATTCATGCAAAAAATTTGCAAATCAAAAATGGATAATGTTTGAATACTGCAATAAATCAACAAAAGATTTTGTAAATTATCAAAAAATAATTTTATGAAATATTTGTAGAAGTATGTTCATTGGTAATTTTTTGTTTTCCAGAATATTTTCCAAGGTTTATGAATCACACTTATAGTAAAAGATAAAACTCATTTAGTTTTTCTCACAGACAAATGTAGTTTCTACCTAAGTACTTAACAAAAGAAAACTAGAAGTCAAACTCATTTACTACTTAAAATATGAGCACATATATTTTATGGCAATTGGGACATGAGTGATTTAATAAGAGAGAATCTATTGATTTACGATCTAGTAATATAATTCAACCCATCAGTAGATTAAAAATTAGATACTCCATATTATATTACATAGATTTTTTTTTAAAAAATCAATGCATACAAAAGTACTTACTTTCATTTCAAAGAAAGAAAGAAAGAGTAAAATGGGAGTACAAGAATGTCTCCTTAATGTGGAGTCGGAATTAGCATTGTTGTGTATTGGGAAATAGAAGTTTTTGTTTTGTTGTTATTGTGGTTGTTGTTTTTTT